TTTTTTTGTTTTTTTTTGATACTTTCTTACTCTCTTTTCTTTTTTCTTGTTTGTATCTTTTATTATATCCTCTCTACCTCTGTTTTATTTTTTCTTTTATATTTGTATTTTCATTAATTTGGCTCTTTTGATGAAGTGATATAGCTGCTAGAGCTAAGAATCAGAGAGTTTATATTCTAGTAAGTTGAGAATCCAATATAAAGCCAATTGCTACTAGGTAAGTTGTTCTCTAAGTTTAACTCAAATTGATCTTTACTTGTATAGAATATAGTATAGAAAATTGTATCTCTCTGTTGATATAAGTTCTTGTATTTCTAAATAAAGAGTAATAGGCAGAACTGCCAAATTAAAAAAAAAAGATAAGTAAGACATCTTAGTATCTAATTCTCTTTAAGCAATATCTATAGGTAATTAGTCTATTTCATGATATCTAAGTATGTGAATTAGTATAATTATGCTTGATGATTGTGCGTAACTATATGTATTCAATAAAACTATCAAAAAAAATACAATCTAAAAAGTGATTAAAAATTTTTATCACTTTTTAAACATTATCTAATCTACCAAAAAAATCTATTTAATTTATAAAACAATAAGAAATGCTAATCTAAAAATATAAGCCTGTTACTATTATAAGATTATAATAATTTGAGTATAATAAATTAATTTAAAAAACAAATCGCAAGTTACCTAAACAAATATTTTTTTATATATATATAAATTTTACTATAAGTCCGAATATGTAGCACTTTTATCTAAAACTTTTTACTAAGTAAATTACTTTTGGGCTTATAACAAAAGCTGTAAAGCTTATCAAGATATATCTAATAGTAGTAAAAATATTAAAATCAGTCTGGTAGTTCTTGAGAAATCTTTAAAAAAACTTTTTCCTCATATATAAAATTTCTTTAAAAAAAATCAATTTTTTTAAAAAAATTTTATATATGAAAAAGAAGTTTTTTAAAGATTTTTCAAGAACTACCAGGCCAATTTTAATATTTTTACTACTATTAGATACATCTTGATGAACTTTACAATTTTTGTTACAAACCCAAAAGTGATTTACTTAATAAAAAAAAGTTTTAGATAAAAGTGCTGCATATTCAGGCTTATAGTAAAATTTATATATAAAAAAAATTTGTTTAGGTGACTTGTAATTTGTCTATTAAAAATATCATCTATAGTTGTGTATTTTTAATTAGCAGAATACATAGTTGTAAGCTCAACTTGTAAAATAATCTATAATATAAAGATTTGTTACAATTTATTATAATCATAGTAATTATTACAGATCTTTGTTATCTAATTTTTTAGACATATTATAGCATATACTAAATCTGAAACAAGATTACTTCTAATTTTTAAAATAGTATAAGCTACAACTGAAAATGCATACTTATTTAGAATACTAATTTTTTGTATAGACAAGTAGTTTCTTGCTATTTTACTAAGTGTTTAAAATTCGTTTTCAAATTTGTACTATTTAAGTAGTTTTTTTATAGAGCAAGTGGAAAAGCTAAATATTGTTCTAACTCATTTTCTACTAGTATAGTATTTTTTTATTGTAATAATAATTCAAAGAATAAGAATTGATTTTGTTTTTTTTTTTCTTAATGTCTAATAGTAGATATATTAAAGATACTTTTTAAAAGTTTAAGATACATTTACATAATATACTAATAGCAATTAATTATGCTTTATATATTACAAAAGTTATTAATTTTGAATATAGATCAAGCAAAGTGGGTAATATAGTCAATTGTTTAATAATATTCTAGTACTTTTATAGTTTATGCATTATTGATTATACTATAGTTGGACTTCCATAAATGCAACATCTCTAAATGCATATATATAAAAAACCTTTTTAAATACATGTCTTTTCTTGGGCCCAATTAATATAATACTTATAGATTTTTACTTCTCTAAATACATAACCTCTCTAAATATATATTTTTAAAATTTTTTACTATGATCCCGATGTCATACATTTAGAGAGAGTTGACTGTATATAATATTCATCTTTTTTATAATTAGAAAGATATTGATCAAGATAATATTTAAGTTCAGTAAATACAGGACAAATATTACTAATTGTCAGATAGAAACTAGCAGACAATTAGTAATGTTGTTTGATATAATAGTTCAAGAAGTTTTAACATTATATCCATTTGCTTCTACTCATTTTCATTAAACTACAAATCTTTAAGCTATCTTTTATTTTTTGCAACTAAATATTTTAATGTTTCTTTTAATCTATTAAACTTTTGTAATATCAGGAATATACTATTCTAATATATATCAATATTAAGTTTTAGTCTTAAATACTTAATTTTTTGAATAGTATAAATATTTTATAAAGAATTATATAGTAATTGAAAGTAATATACTTTTTTATAAAATTTCTAATTTTTTTAATAATTATAGTTTTGAGCTATATATCATATTTCATAGTGATATTCAAAATGTATACAATATATCTATAATACTTATATTTATTATTTCTTAATAATGAAAAAGCTACTTGCAGCTCATGCTCTACAACAAACATGCTTGCATTATTGTCAGTAGTAAGTTCAAGAATATTTTGTGTGATTTTAAATTCATTAAATACTATTAAAAGCAAATCTTTAGTATATATTTTATAATAATAGTCCAAATAGTAGATTAAATCAAAAATAAAGCTTTATGCTTTCTAATTAAAGAAGGGCTATTTATTAGCTGATATTTTTTTATTAAGAGACTATTCTTCTTTCTCCTATCTGATTTTAAATAAAAAATTTTAATTGGCTAAAACTATATATCTGATAATTTTTTTTACCTTCTTCTTCTTAAAAAATTAGCTGATTTCTGGTATTTCCCTTATTATTCATATAATAGATAGTTATTTTTAAATATGTTTGGTTTGATATAGAGGTTTATATATCGCACGTAATAAAAATCTTTGAGTTAATGTTTTTAAATAAACTTATAATTTTTTTGCATGTATCTTCAAATTGATTTCTAATTTTACTATTTAATGTTTGCTAGCAAAAAACACAATATCATAGATCAAGAACACCAAGTATCTCTTTAAAATATTTATTATTCACAACCAAAAAGAGTAATTGGTAATATATAACAAAATCAACTACCTTTTTATTAATTTTGTTTATTCGTTTTGTTTCTTTTGATATATATAGTGTAGCTGCAAAATATAAAGTGTCTGCTATTTTAAGAAAATATTTCTATTATATTTATTATTAAAGTAGATCACAAATATTCCTGTTGTGTTGTCTGATTTCTATTTCTGCTTGCAAATATTGCAAACTACTGCAACTACTTCTTTATATTTATTTTTTTCTTCTAAAAAATTCTTATACAATAGATATATGTTGTTTAGCTCTTTTTGAAATATTTCTAATATAATTAACAGAAGTATTACTATTATTTAAATCAACAATAGAATTCATACTGTTATTATCAACACTTATGTTTTTATTATTATTAGTAATAAAGTTTATGTTCTTACTATTATCAAAAGTAAAGTCTATATCTTTATCATCAAAAGCAAAACTATTATCCTCATCAATAGCATCACTATTATCCTTTTTAATAATAATTCTATTATCCTCTTCAACAGTAAGATTGTTATTCTTACTATTAGTAACATTAGTAATTTTATGAGTTGCAATAGCAGAATTTGTATCTTTACTATTGTTCACAATATTTAGATTGGTTTTTTTAAATATAATGTTCTAATATTCTAATATCTGATATTTGATCTTTTAAATTAAATATATATATATATTTTTTAAAAATTTTTTGGTTTTTTTTTTAAATTTTTTTTATCTTACTACTACTAATTAAATTTTTTTGTTATAATCATCAATTTGACACTTCTAAAAGTTTTTTTTCTTTTTTTTTTGTTTATTTGATTTGTCATATTATACTAGTTAAATCTCATATCTATAATTTCTATAATTGTTAATTTGGCACTTTGTTAAAAATATAGTATTTGTAATCTACTGTTATAGTCTATAAAAAGCTTATTATTATCATAATAAATATATGTTTAGTATTGCAAAAAAGCTTATCATCATAATGAACATATGTTTAGTATTACAAAAAAAAAATAAAAACATATTTGAGGCTTGATTAAGAGTATTAGAGAAAAATTTTAAGCTTAGTATCACATAAAAATAAAATCTAAAATTATTATCACAAAAAGAATAGTTCACCCAAGTACTAAAAATTTTATTTTATTACTATTACTATTTATTTAAAAACTCTGTTTATATAAATATATGCAACTTTAAACTAATATGTATATTTGAGTAATGCTAAAAGTGAACTAGTATTTATCAAAGAATATACATATTTATATATATATATATGTTGTGTCTCAAATCAATTTTTGCCTTAGATAATAACTGAGACACCTCAGATGTTGATCATTTGGCTAGCATTAACTGATCAATATTAATTGATCTAAACTAAAACCTAATCTTTATCCAAACTCTAACTCTAATTTAGACCAATCAATATCTGAGGCAAGAATTAATCTAAAGCACAACATATATATATATAAATATCAAACTTTATATTAGTATCAGATAAGTGAATATCAAGAGCTATTTGATAGATTCTAAAACTAGTCTAGTACAACTTTTTATGTTATTATAGTACTGTAGTAACAAAAATTTTATAGTAATAGCATAGTAAATAAATTGGTTAAATAAGAAATAAAAGCCAAATAAGACTATACATATGTTAAGATTAGTATTAGTAGTTAAGTGAGTTATAATTTTTTAAAAAAATAAATAAAGAATAATAAATAGTTTAAGAGTAGTTTAAAAGTAATAAATAGTTTAAAAATAGTTTAAAAGTAATAAATAGTTTAAGAATAGTTTAAAAGTAATAAATAGTTTAAGAGTAGTTTAAAAGTAATAAATAGTTTGAGTTAAAGAATAATAAATATATA